TTTTGAGACGGAGTTTCACTCATGTTACCCAGGCAGGAGTGCAATGGCGCGATCTCGGCTCACCGCAACCTCCGCCTCCTGGATTCAGGCAATTCTCCTGCCTCAGCCTCCTGAGTAGCTGGGATTACAGGCACGCACCACCATGCCCAGCTAATTTTTTGTATTTTTAGTAGAGATGGGGTTTCACCATGTTGACCAGGATGGTCTCGATCTCTTGACCTCGTGATCCACCCGCCTCGGCCTCCCAAAGTGCTGGGATTACAGGCGTGAGCCACTGCGCCCGGCTGCAGTTCATTTTTTAAATTAAGGTTTAATAATTTTTAGAATTTACCTTTATAATATGGAAAAATACAAACATTCTTTATCTGTACTGGAAAATTAAATGATTATTTCATTGATAAGTAAAATTGAAGGGAACTCTTGAAATCACTGAGCATTTAACAAATTCTCTATAAATACCATGATGTTAAGAAGACCACAAGGCTAAATATGACATTTAAAGATTAAGGCAACAGTTATGTCTGGCTGATCCGCACCTTAAACTGTAACAAAGAGAACTAGTCTTCACTTTAAAACTGATTTCATATGCTGACTTTGTTTTGTTGACATTACCACGTTTTCAATTACCCGGATACAAACTTTGGTTTTATCTCGAAGCACGTTAACAATATTGGCCGATTTTTGCCAGCCATTTTTGTCTTTGAACTACTCACTAGTATTTAATTGGGTTTTCTGCTTGGCTTTTCTCTCTACTTAGTGTGTCCTGCCTAAATCTTAGAATAATGCTTCAAACACATCCTTCATTTTTCAAAAACCAGTGATAGCTCCCTGTTGTCTTCAGAGTCTAGTTCAGAATTCATAGCCTTCTAACAGTCTGCTCAAACCTATTTTTCTGGTGCCAGCACTTTCTTTTTTTTCTTTAATTAGTGCCAGCACTGTTTCTTTATAGGAACTGTCCACTCTAACGAAACCAATCTCTAGTTCTTATTTACCCTTTGTATTTTTCTACCTTCATATCAATACTTTTTCTTTTTTGTGTGGAGTCTCACTCTGTTGCCCAGGCTGGAGTGCAGTGGAACCATCGTGGCTTACTGCAACCTCTGCCTCTTGGGTTCAAGTGATTCTCCTGTGTCAGCCTTCCGAGTAGCTGGGATTACAGGTGCGTACCTCCATGCCCGGCTAATTTTGTATTTTTCGTAGAGATGGGGGTTTTTCCATGTTGGCCAGGCTGGTCTTGAACTCCTGACTTCAGATGATCCACAGGCCTCAGCCTCCCAAAGTGCTGGGATTATAGGAATGAACCACTGCATCTGGCCAGGTTGCCTAGTCTTTAAAATATATTTTTCTCTTAAATTGCCAAGTAGAAAATTAAGGAAAATGTTGAAGTTTCACTTTTGGTCCTTTGGTGCAGCCTTCCAAATGTTTTTCCTGTTCGTTTTGTTGTTGCTTTTCCTTTTTTTTTTGAAGACAGAGTCTTGCTCTGTTGCCCCAGCTGGAGTACAGTGGCCTGATCATAGCTCCTCATTGTAACTTGAACCTCCCAAGGGCCAGGAATACAGGTATGTATCAATGCCTGGCTAATTTTTATTTTTATTTTTTTAGAGATAGGGTCTGACTTTGTTGCTCAGGCTGGTTTTGAATTCCTGGCCTCAAGTGATCCTCAAGTGTCTTGGCCTCCCAAGGTGATGGGATTATAGGGGTAAGCTACTGTGCCTGGCCTGTTGCTTTCCTTTAAACCCATAACCCTTGTGGTTTTACTATTCCCTTGGTTTTTAATCTCATGTGGACTTGTATCATAGAATCAGAGCATTATTGCTGGAATGGTGGAATCCAACCTTGTGTTTTCTAGATAAGGAAACTGAAATACACCTAGACTATATGCACCAAAATTCAAACATCTAGTGATGGGGGCAAAACAAAGACTCAAACCTTGATCTTCTAATGCAAATTCTTTGTATTTATGAAACCATACTACTTCTCATCTCTTGTAATTTTGCATTATTTGCCTTACATTATTTTGCATTTTGTGTATTTATGCCTTCTCATAGACTGAAAACTTTAGGGCAGGGGAATCTTCATATATACCTTGTAATTTTTTTTTTTTTTGAGATGGAGTCTCCCTCTGTCACCCAGGCTGGAGTGCAGTGGTGCTCCCTGGGCTCACTGCAATCTCCGCCTCCCAGGTTCAAGCGATTGTCCTGCCTCAGCCTCCCAAGTAGCTGGGATTACAGTTGCCTGCCACCACGCCTGGCTAATTTTTGTATTTTTAGTAGAGACAGGATTTCACCTTGTTGGTCAGGCTGGTCTCAAACTCCTGACCTTAGTTGATCTACCCGCCTTGGCCTCCCAAAGTGCTGGGATTATAGGTGTGAGCCACTGCGCCTGGCAATTTTTTTTGATGGAGTTTCACACTTTTTGCCCAGGCTGGAGAGCAGTGGCACAATCTCGACTCACTGCAGCCTCCACCTCCCGGGTTTAAGTGATTCTCCCGTCTCAGCGTCTCGAGTAGCTGGGATTACAGGCGCCTGTCACCACTCCCGGCTAGTTTTGTATTTTTAGTAGAGATGGGGTTTCACCACGTTTGCCAGGCTGGCCTCAAACCCCTGACCTCAGGTGATCCATCTGCCTCAGCCTCC